CTATGCTATGACCCCGGGTTTTTGAGAAAAGCTTCTTTTTGTAGGTCGGCCAGCAAGGAGATAGGAGTCCAGCTCTAATCTCTCTCTCTGTGCCAGTTTCAAGGCAGGACTTTCATTAGGAGAGGCTCAGGGAGTGGATTCTGAGACCCAAAGGTGACTGGTGGAAGGAGAGGGGAGCACTGGAAAGTCCTCAGGCAAGTGCAGCTCTCTCTTCATGCTTCCCCGTGGGTGGGTCTCATGTGTAAATTCAGGGGAGTGAGTGTGAAACACGCAGAGGAGATTTGGACTGCTACGTCTGCAGTCTTGTTCTGTACAGACTCCAGTCAACCATCTTGGTTTCAAGCTCTTTTGGTCAGTGTTGTTATCTTACAAGCAAGTTATTTCTTTTCTTGTCTGCCATCCTGCAAACTCAGGAATTTTGTGAGTCACTGGTTTCTCTAACTCTCTGGGGTTGGTTTCACCAGGAAGGTCATCCCAGATCTCACAGTGCCTTCGTCTGGAAAGCCCATCCCACTGCTTGAGAGTGCTCTGAATGTGATGTTTTATCTGGATGCACCTCTAGCAGGGCCCTTGCCGGTGGGAACAGGGACAGAGCAATAGACCAGAAGGGAGAAGACTTGGGCCTGGTGCTCAGAGCTGTCCCTCCCCCGCCGGGAGGCTGTGCAAGAGCCACCTCATCTCCCCAGGCCAGCACTTTTTCCACTACATGATGGGACTTGTGACGCCTGATCTGCCTCTCAAGGTTGTCTGGCGACTCAGATTGGATAACACATTTGAAGGGGCTTTGTAAATGGCAAAACAATGGATGTCTATAAGGGATTCTGACTATTTCTCATCTCTCTCCTTCAATAGGCAAAGTGGTTTTAGCAACTGCCCAGGTAAAATTCTTTGGTGATTCCCAGACACTAAAATCACCAGGGTCTTCAAGCTTTGAGATACTGTGAGATATTCTAGAACTTTCTTTCCTTGCACCACTCTTTGTGGCACAAGTTCTCAGAAATGTTTCCTCTAGCATTCTCCTTTCCTTCGAGGAAAGGCACCAAAACAATGGGGTCATTAAGACTCTGTCATTCTGCTGATAGTCTGAGACCTGGCTTCTATAAAGAAGTGTGGTTAAGAGCACAGTCCCCGGGAGCAGACTGCCTGGATCTGAATCCTGATTTCACCACAGGGTCACTGCGTGACCTTGAGGGTGTTACTTTCTAGGATTGCTGTAAGGATTAAATGAGTTTATATATACAAATGTATCTCTAATTTAGATCAGTGCAGGGCTTATGATACCAGCTCAATGAATATATCTGCCCGTGACTGATGATATTTCTGGTGGTGGCGATGATGATGACAGGCTGTATGGTTTCCAGAGACGCTCTTCATGCAAAACACTCACACATAAACACACACACACACACACGCACACACACACAAAGCATAACAATCCCGTCTGTCCAGTATTTTTTCCCTTCACGCTTCACACACACATGAAATGTCTCATCAAAGCAAATCTTTTCATTATAAATGACAGTCAGGGCATTGGATGCGAAATTAAGAAACACAGGTCAATCACCCTGGGGCCCCACTGACTCACTTCGTGTCACCAGAAGAATCCCTCAACCACTGAGTGATTCACCTTCTCTCTCTCTCACTTAAATGGAACAAACAATGCTTGCCTACGCTGTCCTGGTACGAGAATAAGTGAGTTTATTTTGTTAGACAACTTTGAACTTGGATGAAAGGAGCTATTTAAGTACAAAGAAGGAGGTGAGGGTGGCTGGGCCTGGTGCTAAATTAAGACCAATCAAGACTGCAGCTCTTTTTTTACTGAGACCTACCCTTGGGTCGGTGCCTGAGGGGTGTGTCACCTGTGCCCAAACACTGCCACCACTTAGGAAAAAGAGTAGAGGAGGGGAGGGTGAGATAGTCTCTGACCTCTGAACTTCCTATGGTGAAAGTTCAGATGCTTCCCAAGCCAATCAGTCCCATCTACACCGACAGCAACCAGCAGGTAGGGCTCTGGGCTTGAGAGCAATTGGAGACAGAGCAACCGGCTTCTCACTTAAGTTCCCTTCATCCCCGGGGCTGGGGACTGTGGTCACTCCTGCACCATAGCCCTGTACCAGAATAGCCTGCCTCAAACAACCACCAGTGATGCTTGTAAATTTCTCCAAAAGCTTCTGCAATTTGGAGAGTTTGTGGAGCACAGAGGGAGGGCGAAAACCAGCTGAGAGTAGATTTGGTGGCTCCACTTGGACACCTGTGGCTTTGTTAATAAATGAGACATAAAAAGTAGGGAGGCAGAGTTTCGGGGTTAGGAGGCTTTCTACAACCAGCTCCATCAGATGCCACAGTGCTCGTCCCAACCTCCCCACCAGATGGTTGTGAAGCCTTGCTTGAATGTCTCCAGTGATGGGAAACACGCTGCTTTTGATCTCTGACCCGCTGTGACGCTGGATTCTGGAGACGTGTTGGTTCTCAGCCATGGCTGTCTAAATACAGAGCTTCTGGTGTGTGTGTATCTATTGCCTGTAAATTCCAAGTTGGGCAGCTGCCAGAAGGACTCATCTGTGGGGCTTGTCGAGGAGTTTGTTGGCCCTTTCTAGACTAAAAGTCTGACAGGCACAGCAATTGCCATCATTTAATGTTTTTTAGAGTTTTGCAATGTCCAAGAGAAATAATAGAAGAAATTCCTCACATGTGGAACTTACCAGAAGAGCAAAGCCAGCCCTTTCTGTAGACAAGAGGGTTCACTCTTCTGTAGACCATCTGGCTAGTCAGGGTTCACTCTTCAAATACTCCCCAGCCTACTTTTCTAAAAGTTTCATCAGAAGCTCCTGGAAGGTTTGATAAAACAGACTGCAGATCTGAAAGTCTGGAGTAGTGCTCAAAAATGCGCATTTCTAGCAGGTTCCCAGGGGATGCCAGTGCTGCCGGTTGGAAGACCACACTTTGAGAACCCTTGCCCCAAACCTTCTCGTTTAATTTTTTCTCCTTCAAAGTTTCCAAAGAAAAGGCTTTGGATCTGGTTCAAAGAGGCTGGGGTTCAAGTCTTGACTTAGCCATCAGCTGAGAATCATAACAGCTACTCCTTCTCTGCAGGGTTGGCATGGGACCCTGTGTCACAAGGTCTGGAAAGCCCCAGCACAGTGCCTTGCTCACAAAGTCCAGGCCATCACAAAAGCTTGACTTGGCCAGGCACGGTGGCTGTCTGTAATTCAAGCACTTTGGGAGGCCAAGGCAAGAGGATTACCTGAGCCCAGGGGTTCGAGACCAGCCTGGAAAATTTGGTGAGACCTCATCTCTACAATAAATCACAAAAATTAGCTGGGCATCTGTGCATCTGTCATTACAGCTACTCAGAAGGCTAAGGCGGAGCCAGGCTCGGTGGCTCAGCCTATAATCCCGCACCTTTGGGAGGCTGAGGTGAGTAGATTGCCTGAGCCTGCGGGTTCGAGACCCACCTGGGCAACTTGGCGAGACCTCATCTCTACAATCAATCAAAGTGAGTCGGGCATGGTGGCATGCGCCTGTAGTTCCAGCTACTTGGAAGACTGAGGCAGAAGGATCGCTGGAGCCCAGCAGGTTGAGGCTGCGGTAGCCGGGAGCAGCCACTGCACTCCAGTCTGAGTGACAGAGTGAGACACCAACTCAAAAAAAAAAAAAGAAGAAGGCTGAGGCTGAAAGATCACCTAAGCCAAGCAGGTCGAGGCTGCGGTGGCCTTGTGTGTGCCACTGCACTCCAGCCTGGGCAACAGAGTAAGACTCCAACTCAAAAAAAAAAAAGCTTGACTTAAGAAAGGTCTTCTGAGGAGAAGCAGTGGACCTCTGATTTGTGCTTTTTTGTAGAAGCACCAGGTGGCTTTATCCAGATAAAAAGGGAATTTGACTCGGCATGTGTATTTTAAAAGCTCTGTCTGTGAATCTGGCTCCAAAGAGGCTTGATTAGGTCAAGGCTGGGTATCTCCTCTCTGTGCCGTCTTGTACAGTCCTGTTTTTAACCTCGTCTTCATTGGCTTGGCTGTCTCCCAGAACCACTCTGGTGAGCGAGCTATATCCCCCACATCTAGGAGAACAACTGATGCAAGGAGTGCCCAGGAAGGCCAGCAGGCACTGGGCTCATGATGCTGCAGAAGTGAGGTTTATTTACAGAATAAAAATAGGATTGCAGGCCAAGTGCGGTGGTTCAAGTCTGTAATCCCAGCACTTTGGGAGGCCGAGGCAAGAAGATTGCCTGAGCCCAGGGGTTTGAGATCAGCCCGGACAACTTGATAAGACCTCGTCTCTACAATATATCAAAAAATTAGCCAGGCATGGTAGCATGTGCCTGTAGTTCCGGCTACTCGGAAGGCTGGAACTAACCACGGACCCCATGCCCACCACCTGAGTGACAGGCTCAGTAGAAGCCCAAGCCTTATCATCATACAATATACCAAATTTATGTATCAAATTTATGTATGTATGGGCACGGTGGCTCAAGCCTGTAATCCCAGCATATTGGGAGGTCAAGGTGAGAGGATTGCCAGAGCCTGTGAGTTTGAGACCAGCCTGGGCAACATGGTGAGACTTCATCTCTGCAATAAATTAAATAATAAAAACAATTAGCCTGGCGTGGTAGCTGGTACCTGTAGTTCTGACTACTTGGAAGGCCGAGGCAGAAGGATCGCCTGAGCCCAGTAGGTCAATGCTGGTGTGGCCATGATCATGCCACTGCACTAGCATGGAGGATGGGTGTGAGATTCTGACTCAAAGAAAAAAAAAATAGAATTGCCTGCCCCATCATGGAGAGATCAGGAGGCAACAGAAGAGAGAAAATGGAGCTCTCAACACACCCTGCAGGGAGGAAGCACAAATCCAGGCCCAGGGGCAGGGCTGCTGGACTCAAGTCTATGAAGAGAGCAGCAGCACGGCCACCCTTCCATCTCTGCCTGGCTGGAAAGCCAAGTTTGAAGCAGAGCTTGAGGAGCTGAAGACACTTCCCAGTTCCCACACCTGAGCTGAGGAGCATGTCAGCATCCAACAAAGGAGCAGAGTCCACGGGAGGCTCGAGGGCAGGTAGCACAGGTTGCAGGGACTGGACAAGGGCTGCTCAAGGCTGGGGTCACGTACGGGTTGCAGGGAAGTCTGCGGAGGGAGAAAAGGTGTTTGAAACATTGGTGTGAGTAGAGCATGAAACACAAAAGTTTTGTGCACTGTTGAATCTGAGGGCCAAAGAGAATGTTAGACCTTTACACATCCCTCTAAGCCTTTAAGAGGCAGTGCCTTGCCCGTGGTCCACAGTGGAGCCAGGGCCAGAACTAGAGTGCCTGAGAGCAAGGCCAAGATCACCCTCCTATGTGGAGGAATACAACTGAGGGAAAGGCAGAAAGGCTGGGGAACAGGAACCAGCCAACCGTCAGCTGCTCTCTTGGTTTAAATACAGGCCCCACTCCTGTTCCGTATTGCTTAAAGGGGTGCATCATCGTACCTTTACAGGGGGTTATTGAGGAACTAAAAAGAGTATCTGCACATGCAATACTTTAAAATGTCATGGGTATCAAGAACCTCTGTGACCGTGATACTTCTTCCAGACAGAATTTAGTAAAATCTAAAGGCACTGAGTGTCAACATTTTAGCCCGCTGAGGGAGTGACCAGCTGACACAGTCAGTAAAATATGAATTCCATGAGCTGAAAGTTTCTGCATGTCCTCATCTATGTCCAGGCAGACAGAAACACTCCAAGTCTACTGGATAGCGAGTTGTGTCCAAAGATGGGGTCTGCAATGCCACCCCCAGCTGGCCTCCAGGGTGGCTCCATTTACGTCACGCCCAATAAGAGGTCTCTGCTTCTGCACATGTTGTGGATACAGACAACAACCGTGTACATACTTGCAGTCCTCGTGCTCCAGAAGGTGCCGGTAGGTGGCAATCTCATTCTCCAGCCGGGCCTTGACATCCAGAAGCACCTGGTACTCCTGGTTCTGCCACTCCAAGTCAGCCCGGATCTCTGCCAGCTGCTCCTCCACGTTGCTGATGAGGCTTTGCATCTGAGCCAGCTCTATGCCACAGCGGGCCTCAGCCTCACACAGGGAGTTCTGCAGGCAGTCCTTCTACAATGCCAAAGAAAGGTGAAAGCTGGTTAAAAATCACAGATCCCACCTTCAACCTCTTCAAGAAGACCTGACGCCACCCCATGGCACAGCCGGGTCCAGAAGCATCGATGCCCCTTGGCATCTCCAGCGGAAGGGCCAGTGCTGCACCCCTGGTCCAGGCCCTGCAGAGCCCCCACCCAGGTGAATGTTCCCTCCCTCAGCAGCCATATCTACGAGAAAGGGCTTCCAGAGGAGGCAGAGTCAAGGCTCGAGCTGAGTCCCCTGTGGGAATTCATGTGAGGCCTGCAGGGACCCAGCCAAGTCCCCGCATGTACAGAGACTTACCAGCTTGTGCTGCACCTGGAGCGCCACCTCCAGGGAGTCCGCCGAGCGCTGCAGCTCCAGAATCTCAGACTGGCAGCACTGCAGCTCCTCTGAACAGAACATGGCCTGCAGGCTGATGCCTTCAGACTGGAGCACAGTGGTCACACGACATGGTCAGCGCACCCACCACACGGAAGCTGCATCCCCCTTCCACTTGGCAGCCCCCTCACCTGGGCCTGGAACCACTGCTCGACATCCTGGCGGTTAGTCTCCACCCTGGCCTCGTACTGGGCCCTCATGTCTCCCAGCTTGCAGCTCAAGTCCATGGTGGGCTCTGTGTCTAGCTCGATCCACAGCTTATCCCCCAGCTGGCTCTTCAGTGTGTGGGCTTCCTGTGAGTGTGAAAGCAGGATGACCCCCTGCCTTCCACCCACCCAAAGCTTTGACTCCCACTCCCCCTCCTCCCAGGCCATTTCCCTGAGGCCCTCTGAAGATGAGCCGTGGCCTGTGCCAGCCCCCAAGCTTCCAGAGGCTATGGACAGAGAGCAGCCTCTTACGGAAAGCCAGAGCCCACCTGCACAGCTCGTGAGGCTTAGCCATGAGGTCAGCCCTGTGTGGCCTCCAGCCTGAGCAGAAGGAAGCTTCATTTATTCCCTAGATGAGCCTGAGTTCATCCCAGAAAGTCTCAACGCATCACATTAAGGGTCACACACCTGCTCCATGGTCCTTCTTAAGGTAAAGAAGCTCTTCCTTCAGGGACTCCAGCTGGGCCTCCAGGTCACACTTGGTGAGGGTAAGGTTGTCCAGTGCCTTACGCAGGCCACAGATGTCAGCCTCCGCCAACTGGTACAGCGAATGCTCCATCTCATACCTGTAACAGGGCAGGCGCAGGAGGCGGGGTTAGAGAGCAGGACGGGACGAGAGGGGACAGGAGAAGGTCAGGAGGGGACTCAGCCAAAATTCCACTGACCTGCCCTTTTGCAGTCTAACTGTTGAGTCGGCTTTTCCTGTGGCGTGTGTTCAAAGCCCACAAGGCAATAGATGTCAGCACTAAGCAACAAAGGGGAACCAGGTAGAGCCGCTGGTGCTGAGGATGCCGTGATGGACACACAGCCAGTTACTGCCCTCGCAGGCTGACAGCCCAAAAGGGAGGTGGCAATATAGTCAGGCAACTGCAACACCTTGTGATCGCGGCAGACCCTCCTCCTCCTCCAAGCCCCCTGCTGAAAGGGACCCTAGTTTCTTTCTTAGGGTGGAAGCCACATTGCTAGAGTGAGAGGAAATGGTTTTCTTTAGCTCTACAAGGTGAAGCTTTCACAGAGCCCTGAAAATAGACAATAAAACACAGTGTCCCTTCCTGGGCCTAAGGTGGACCCTTCTCAGTGGTATAAACCCTTCGACTTCACACTGAGGCTGTGAAGCATGATGTCATGAATTATCGGCACTCACAGATCAGTGGAGCTGCAGTGTGAAAAGAGTTCCTTATTGGGGCAGCAAAGATTTGTGGGAAATGGCCTCAAGGTAGGAAAACTTGGTAAGAAATTTGGGACTGAGTCTCAGTTTTAGCACTCAGTAGGCACATGCCTTCTGGCAAGTCACCTCAGCACTCTGCGCCTCAGCATCCTCACCTATGAAAGAGATGCCACCCATGCCCTGCCTGCTTCACAAAGTTCTTACAATAGAACTGAGGGATACACCCAAAAGCACACTGCAAACTGTACAAGCTAAACAACCGGAGAGTGGGTATGTTTTTTAAGACCTAAGGCTTCACGCCCTCTGTTTTCTCCTTCTATAACTGTTGGGTCAAGTTCTGGGTTGATTACATCCTCTTGCCACACAAGAGAGAAGGAGCCAAAGTAGGCGTCTGGCTCCTCACTGTCCCTGTCAGACCCCAACTCACTTGGTCCTGGAGTCATCCGCAGCCAACTTGGCATTGTCTGTTTGCATGACCAGCCTGTTGTTCTCAGATTTGGTGCACAGGATCAGGGAAGAGAAAGCAGACGCCATGCATTACTTACTATTCCCAGAGCCATTCAATGTCCTCAGGTCAGAGAAAGTTGCATTGGCTGAGACTCAAAATACAGGCATCCCCTTGGACAACACAAACTCCCAGACTATAAGAGATGCTTTCATGGTGCAGGAGGGAGGATGCGCAGGAGAGTTCTTGGCAAGGGATGAAGGCCTGGAGCCAAAGGAACCAGGAGGTGGAGATGGCAGCAAATGGCACATGTAGCAAAGACTTGATTTTATTTTGCCAGATATGATGCTTAGCCCAATATAGTCAAGAAGATTTGGAATCAAGGCCACAGGAGAATGGACTGGCTATGAATGTTTTAGAGAAAGTGCGGTCCATTCTAAATAAGAAGTTTCATACTCTGGTTGCCCAACCTCCCCAGTTTCTTTCTGACTCCAAAACTAAGGTGTAGTCTTTCAGAAGCATTGACTGGATAATCAAAGGACACACGAGGTTGTCACTGCTGCACAGATAGACACTGGCTCATCACAGAAATTGAAAAATGCTCCTCTCAGCCTGTTTTGTGTTGTTGCTGGGTTTTGTTTGTTGTTTTGGATTTTTTTTTTTTTTTTTGAGACAAGGTTTCACTTTGTCACCCATGCTGGAGTGCAGTGGCATGATCATACTCACACAACCTCAAACTCCTGGGCTCAGGTGATCCTTCTGCCTCGATCTCACAAGTGGCTGAGACTACAGGTATGTGCCAACACACCCAGCTATTTTTTTTTTTGAGATGGGGTCTTGCTATGTTGCCCAGGCTGTTCTCGCCCTGTTTATTGCACCAGAAGTTAGGTTGCTTCCATAAAATTAGCACTGTTTTTGAAACTACAGTACAATTTAGGAATTTTAAGTATTGAAACGAACTAAGCATAAATTCAGAACCCTGGAGAGACAAATTCTCATCTCATCCTTTACATGTTTCCATTCAGCTTCATTCAAGAGATTCTCTTCCCACAATTCAAAAACAAAAATTCCTGGCCGGGTGTGGTGGCTCACACCTATAATTCCGACACTTTGGGAGGCCAAGGCAGAAGGATTGCTTGAGTCTAGGAGTTCAAGACCAGCCTAAGCAATATAGCAAGACCTCATCTCTAAAAACCAAAATCAAAAATTAGCTGGGTGTGATAGCACAGACATGTAGTCCCAGCTACTCAGGAGGCTGAGGTGGAAGAATTGCCTGAGCCCAGGCGGTCAAGGTTGCAGTAAGCCATCATCATGCTACGGCACTCCAACCTAGACGACAGAGTGAGACCCAGACTCAAAAATAAAAGATAAAATAAAATTCCACTGCTGATCCATGTCAGCAATCTTTTCCTGTAAAGGGTCAGATGGTAAATATTTTAGGCTATACAGACCATACAGCCTCTGTCACAGCCACTCAACTCTGCTGTTGCAGCACAAAAGCAGATGTAGACAGAACACAGATGAATGAGCATGGACATGGACAAATGAATCTCGATTTGCAAAACAGTCGGTAGGCTGGATGAGGCCCACGGGCAGTGAGGAGGCTGCTGACCTCCAACTAGGCATGCCAAGCCTCACCTTCAGCTGCAGCCCCTCGATGACACGAAAGTAGGATTGGTAGTTCAGGCACACGCTGGACTCGTGGCATGTGTTCCACTCACGGAGTTTGGTCTCCAGCTCTACATTGTCCAGCTCCAGATGGCGCAACTTCTCCAAGTAGTTGGCCAGGCGGTCATTCAGAAACCGCATGGTCTCCTTCTCGTAGCCGTTCAGGGTGCCTTCGCTGTAGGTCCCGCAGCTCCCAATGTTAGTGGGAATGTGGCAGGTCCCTGGCAAGGGACAAGCAGTGTGGCAGCTGAGGGGCAGGCAGAGGATAGGGCGGCCCAGAGGGGTCGAGCCCACATGGAGCTGGTTGGGCTGCACCACGTTGGCCACGAGGCACAGAGAAGCAGCATGGGCCTCTGAAACCCACCCACTGAGAAGGGGGCTGCAGTGTTCAGAAGTCATGGAGTTAAAAGGCAAGGCTCCTGCTTTGCCCAGGACTGAATTTGCTTTAAGCCAAAACCTTTCTTCTCACGTAGACCTTATATATGCCTTAGTGGGTGTTGGTGCGAGAAAACTGGCATTTTCCTCATGAATATTCATGCCGATTATTATACCATCGCTCTATTAGTCAGTGATTTTTGTTTGCTATAAAGAGTTAATGAGCTCATGAAAGAGGCCTTACCCCCTACATGATGCTTCCCGTCACTGCAGGGTCCCAGAAAACAGAAATTGAGGTCTTTTTGAAGCAGCCCACTTTCTGTGACAGTGAGTTCTGTCCCCTTCTGCCAGCTTATGTCTGTGAAAAAAATCAAGAACCAGAGACCCCTGAAATTTCCTCAAAGTCCCTCTCATGTCTGTATTCCTTTATGACATCAGAATGTTTCCACTGTGGCAGAGTCTAGAATATTAGTCCATCAGGCACCTCAAGGAAAGGGAACAATTGTGATTTATTTTGGTGGATATTTATGGAGCGCTCAGTGCAGGACAAACCCAGCACCAGACTTATGGCGTGGGTAGATTTGTAATATGAGAGCGAAGAAAGTAAATGACCACAATATTATAAAACCTATAAGAGGGAGTGCTTTTTAAAAAGACAGCTGAAAAGATTTCAAGGTAGAAGAGAACTCACTGAGAGGCCAGAAAAAGACTTCATGGGGATTGTTACATTGTGTACTGAATGATGTTTTCCATAAGAGGTTCAGGAAGAGAGTACAAAACTAACAGCATCAAACATGTTTGGAAAATGGAAAATAGCCTAGCTATGTTGGCACTTATAAAGAAGACATGTCCTGGAGCCCTGGAAAGTTGCACTGAGTCCAGGTTGTGAATTGTCTCAAATGCCAGGATCATCCATATATCTTCAGGTAAAAGCAAGTGAAAGATAGGGCTCTCCCCTGGGAGCTGACTTTCTTCAAATACAAAGAAAACTAAATAGCCAGTTTCCTTCTGAAGGAAAATAATAGAAAAGAGATGGAAGCTTCCTTTATAAATAGTAGCAGAAAACACAAAGCTAGATAGAACAATAAAAAAGAAATCTAAATTCCAAATTAATTTTGGTGTTCGAAAACTAACATTTTTAAATAATTCTTGGATCAAAGAAAAAATCAAATGAGACTTTTTAAAGTATTGTAAATTGATTTGAAATGAAAATACAACTTATCAAAGTGATTTTTACTATGAAGACTTCCCCTGTGCAAATGTGAAATAGAAAAGCAGTTTTGGAAGTGGGGGGAAGGTTCATGTACAAAACTGGATAACTTTGCAATTTTCAAGAAGTAAAATCCTGTTCCTGTGTGTTGCAGTCTGCAGGCCAACTGAGGCTGACAGTGATTAATACTTTATGGTGTCTGTTCTCAAGGCCTCGCCCTCCTTACCAAGAATCTCCCCTTTCCACTGACCCTCTCACTTGGCCAAAGTTCCTCCTCACCCTTGTTTATAGAAGATACACACTGAAGGACTTTGATCTTCCATCTTTTGAAATGTTTTTTGCATTTCTTTGAAATCCACCTTGATTGTCCATTGTTTGGGAGACTCTAGAACAAAATTTAAATCTCCTTAATCTTCAGACACACTCAGAGCTTCAGAAGTTTTATGGCCTTCTGTGTTTCTAAACCAAATAAGCCAGTGGCCATTTGTTCAACAAACCCTGGAAAGGGCAGCTAGCCAGCTTCCAGCCTATGCTAACGAAGATGCTTCCTTGACCTTATTCCCAAGATGAATGAATTCACCAGGAAGACCCTTGAGGCAACAATGCATGTTTCCACTGTCCCTAAAACATAGCCTCTCCAAGCGGAAAGGAACCTCAAAGGCCTGGAGTCTAGAACCCTTTGCCATTAAATCCCTTCTAATAATCTCACTCCAGTTAGCTGTCTAAGCCATCCTTTTCCAGGAGAGTTCACACCAACTCAGCCCCTACAGATCCCAAACAGCCTCTCAGGCTTTGTGTTAGACACTGGAAACCAGAAATACCAGCAGCTAGCTCAGCCTTAAGGCACTACAATATAGACAATCATTAGAAAGTCTCTCTATGCAGACACAGATCTGCCTCCCTATTACTTTCATTTGTTCTTTCATTCATTCTACCAATGTTTACTGAGTACCTACTCTGTGCCAGGCAGGTGATGGGCTGGAGGCTGGTAATACGTTAACAAGTAAGTCTGGGAGCTGGCCCTTCAGTTCATTTTCTCTCCAGTTCTACCCATAGGTCCCAGAGAGGATAAATCCAATCATCCCGCTATATGACAGTCCCTCAGCTCATGATGACAGATGTGAGATTTCTCACTCCTGGTTCTTCATGCTTCTAAGTCCTCTTGCCATCCAGGAGCATTCCTCTAGATATACCCCATGATGTAACCGTTCCTATCATTCTTAAATGGTGGTTCTAGATGGAATTTCTGATTATTTAGATTAAGAATCTGCCAGTAGATGGCCCAGAAAGTTCTCCTTGCCCAGGACTCTTGTGTGAGTTGTGCTGGTGCCACTAATTCTTCAGTCCTGACAACCACCCAGCCACCAGCTGGTCCCATATACAGTCAGTGAGATCCTTGGAGACACTCCCCATAACTACTCTGTGTTCAGATGTGGTTGAAGTTCACCCAGGTAGGGTGTACCTTGTCCAAGTGATCTTCTTCAAATGTTCTTGAACTCTTGCTAGAGCAAAGTCCTTCTCAAGGTCCCATAGGTTTGGGGAGCAGAGATGAATGAGATTCCCACCTCTCAGAAAACTGAGAGAAAAGAAGAGCTTGAGCATGTAACTCAGAGGAAGGAGAGGTGACAGGTCTGAGAGACAGAGAGAGAACCTGAAGACTGGGAAGACTTGGATGGGCAGAAATGGAGAGACAGGGCTTTCTAGAACAAAAGATGAGCAGAGGTAAACACTGGGGAGCAGAAGTGGGTGCAAGGGAAGCAGACGCAACCTCAAAGGTGCAAGAATGCAACAGACAGGAGTCTGCCCAAGAGACTGACCCCCAAAATAAATGAGTTTGGATGACACAAAAATGTTGACCTAAAGAGCCAAAATAGCATTCTCAAGACCTGAAAAGTTGAAGTTTATGCTCATCTACATTAAAAATGTAGTCTGCTTCTATTTCACATCTTCACTGGTGGTTTTCAGACTGAAGCCAGCAGCATCACCAGGACTGGCAAAATGCAGATTGCCAGGTTCCATGACACAGTTTCTGATTTAAGAGGTCTGAGGTCAGGTCTGGGAGGCTGCATTCCAAGGAGGTGCTAATACTGCTGGTCTGGGGACCACACTTGGAGGACAGAACCACTGCTCCATGGCAATAGACACATTTCATGGTGGCTATCATCCTGTATACAGAAAGCACCAGGTAAAAAATGGTATTATGAGGGGACAGCATTTGAATTCCCGCATTTGAAGTCAGCATGTGCTTTCTTAAATACAATAAGCAAGCAAGTTATGCTTGTTTTACTAGTTCATTCTTCACGGAGATATGTTTTAGGAGAGCTTCTAAGATGGACAGAGAGAGGAGGAAGGAAAACACACACATTGTTAAGCCTGCGGGGAAGAGGGAGAACATATGAGAAACAGCGGGTATAGAGTACAGATGAAGGTCAAGTGGCGTGAAATCTATTGACATCTATTATGTGCTGGGATTCAGGCTGGCACTTAGCATATAGTATTTCATTTCATTCTCTCTTTCTCTCTTTCTCTCTCTCTCTCTCTCTCTCTCTCTCTCACACACACACACACACACACACACACACACATACACACACACCTCTATATACTCAAAGCAGACATACACACCATATTTGACCACCTACTATGTGCCACCAAGTATCATACCATGTGTTTTATGTATGTCTTGTCATCTTTATTCCCACACTACAAAGTAGTCACCAGTATCCCATTGTAGAATAAAGAAAACCAAGCTCAGAGCAATTAAGTAACTTGTCTGAGCTCACAAAGCTGGAATGAAAGCACAGTCCTTGCATCGTCATCCAGGCCTCCCTGGCCCCCAAACCTACATTCTTTTTGCTCTACCAGGCAATCCACGAGGGGTCAGAGAGTGGAGTGAACTGAGCCCCAGGCCAAAGTCCCAGATGGCAGCCATTTGACAGATGTCCCCCAGATTCATTCAGCAAATAGTCCTGAGTACGTGCACTGAGCCACACTTGTCTACAGAGTTTAGAAACATAGAAAAGGACAGAACAGAGACTCTGGATTCTTCAGAGCAGGCAAGCGAAATGAAAAAGGGAGAATTTAGAAAATGAATCTAGTGTCTGTCGACCTAAAAGAATCAAAACGTTCAGGATCCAGTTAAAAGAGTTCATTCAAGTGCAACGTGGGAGGGTAGCCATCCACAACACACAGACAACAAGGAATGGAGATCAGTGCACCCATGACTGGGAAAAGTAAGGATCATTAATATAGGCAAAACTGGAGGCGCTGAACAATTGCAGCATTTTCCATACAAAGGCTAACACACAGATATGAGATTTGATTGGCTACTATTGATTACACTCTAAGGGAGGGGGTTGCTAGACATCCTCTTGTGCAGAGGGAGCAGTCACCAGGGTCTCTGTCTCCAGCCTCATGGAGTCCAGGTGTGAATGAAGAACAGAGGCCTGGTTAACATGTAACATCTCAGTACAAAACTCAGGAAGCAAGACATTGCACCCAAGAAGAAAAACAGCCATATTGCATGACCCAGTTTCCAGGGCTCAAGTTTTCCCCTTGGTGTAATAAATTTGGAAGGCCCTGGAATTTGGAACACCGAATCTCCACCTTGCATGTCCTCAAGCACATACTGCAGTGCCTTGTACCTAATATATGCTCAGTAAATATGACACGTAAGAGTGAGGGGCTGGCGGAGGGTGTAGGATGAACTTGGCACAGAATAGATGGGAGGAGGCTCCTACGGGAATTCTGGCAGAATGTGATGAAACCAGCCACCAGCGGTGCCGATGGAGAGGAAGGCTCAGAGGACAGAGGT